ATAATTGCCGTAAAACACTGCGAGCAACACGCCCAAGCCAATGTTAGGTACAAACTAATGGAAGCAAATTTAAACAACCGAAGACAAAACAGACGACCCGAAGTAATTTCAACTGTTTCCTTTTTGGTAAAATTAGTGAGAATTGGTAAAATTAATTCCAATAGACTACCTTAAACATTTCTCAAGGTAATTTTGCAGGAAATGATGGAAATTTTTGTGTTTAATTTGTCCTCAAATCGGCAATGAACTTTTGCTGTCATCCATTACAAAATCCAGTTGCCGTTCTTTGATAATTTTTTATTTTATTGCGAAAAGTTTTGCCTCTTTTTTTTTTCATTCATTTCAAGTTCGCCTAGCGATGATAGCAACTGTGAAGGAATGTCTTGCCGGTTCTGGAGTTTCAAAAAAAATTGCCGAGTTTTTTTAAAATTTTGTTGTCCGACATTAAATCAAATATTTACTAAGCGCACACCAGGTAAATGACAACGTCCACTGTAATTTTAATCTCGAAGTCATAGATTTTGCGCCGTGTGGAGTGCAGAAAGTTCAGAAAGTCCTTTGACTCCAAAAAATAACAATTTCCAACTTGTCTTGACGTTATAAAATTTTGGCTTTCCTTGGACGTGTTTGTTTTGAGAGATAAGACCACTAGCCGGGTAATTTTAAGCCTTCACATTTAAGTACCAGATGTTCGAAGTTATTGCTGTGGGCCCCAGCATGTGGTCGGGAACCACGCCGGGGCCACGGAATTAACCCTGGCCCGATTACGCTTCCCCGATACTCGCGATGAAGGAAAAGGCCGGAGATGACGGACACAACCGTTTGCTTCAGAGGTCAACCACGTTGGTGTCGTTGTGTCGTGTGTGGCGTTTGTGCGTGTGTATTTATGCCTCAGATGTGTGAGTCATCAATGAGCTAGCATCCAGACCTAGGCTCTGACCTATTTAAAGGGGGACCCCGTGTCAGAGGGTGAAGCGATTGGATTAGCGAGTGCGAGTCAACGCCCATTCACAACATGTTTATGGGCATTTCAGCTGACTCACAGCCACCATCTTAGATCTTTGCAACATTGCTGAATCCATGAATAAACGACAATTTTACGCAAGGACTTCCCAATCGCTGTCATAGTTATTCATCCAGGCGCGCACTCTGATAGCCTTAGCCAAAATTTATCACTACAATTGACAACCCCTTAGAGTTTAGGTAAAAATTCCATTTATGACGTTTAACCTCAAATCTGAACTTGTCAGTCGATAAAATTTAAATAGTTGTTTAAGAGGTAGAAAATCAGGTTTTTAGCCATCAAATTGCCATTTTTGCTTCTCTGTGTTCCGTTAATGCTTGATCTGTTGATTTTTGAGAAAAATCATTTTTATTAAGGTGAAAAAATCAAGTTTGACTAAAATATGTAGACGTTCATTTACTTGAAAATTTATAAAGGTTGTGAGAGCAGAAGATTGAGAAGGGTGAACATTTTATTGATGCATTCTCAGGTATCCTACAAATTCTGAGCCTGATTTACTATAAAGCGTCTATTGTGAAGGCGTTTTCTACACAGCACCACCTTGTTAGGCTAAAAATTCGTCTTGTAGCATTACTGAAACATTTTACACTCTCACGCATAATTATTTAATATACAGAAACATAATTTGAAAAATTCGGCTGGTAGTTTTGATGCTTGTTTCGTTTTTTCGTACATTCAATTAATAGGTGAGTTTCGATTGCATTTGGACCATCCTGCAAATGTTGACACACATTTAAATTCAAAACTATTCGAGTCGTGTTGCCTAGTAACCAACTGCAATGACCATGTCCCATCACCATTTTACCATCGCTCTTTATTTTCAGGTTCTGTGTGTGTCGACAAGTGAATGGATAGTTAATTTTATTATGTGTTTAAAATAATTAAATCACACAGGAAATCTCTAATTAATTTTGAACTGTAATAGCTTGTAAAATCAACGCAACTTAATCTCCAGTGTAAGTTTAATTAAACGCATCATGCAAATTTAATCCCAGGGTTTACTGCATTATCTCAAAATTTTCAGCACATCTAATTGGCTACAGACATGTGCTGACGTTAGGGAAATTATCAGACGTTAACCAAAACTATTTTGATGACAAGCTTGGGACAGAATGATTTGAAGTGTGCATAAATGCAAGGTAGAGAGAGTATTGTGATATTTTCCCGTGTCGTTGTACTAAAAAGGCCTTTGTTCCGGATTAGGATCTGTAAGGATGAGGCCAATTTGTTCCAAACAAACTTCAGGTTTGTGGTTAGAAGTGTGTACAAGTGATGATATAACACCGGGATGCCATAGAGTGCGCGTTCGTGGCATGCTATGACGCCAGCTTATGTAAGAAAGCTTGATATCGCTCTCTGATCGATAATCGCAAGATGATCGCCTGAATCCGTACTCGCTCGTTGATTGCAACAGCCTCTTAAGTGGACAACTTTTTTGAACTCACTTCACGTAACGACGCTCATTCAACGATTGGATGTCAAGCGTTCAGATTTAAACTGATGACTTGCAAGCTAGATGTTTGCGCTCTCAGTGAATCCACATATCCGCTGGCCCCTTTTCGCGGGCACCTTGTACTTTAACATCGACTAACACCGATTTCATCTCCACCAAAATGCCAGGAGATTCAAGTAGCTGTATTCGATTAGAACTCCTGTTTCGCGTTAGAAATATTATTAAAGAAAACGCCTGACATTTAATGAAGACCACCTATTTGCATTTACCTGCTTTTTTTCCTCAAGTGCCTGCAACGTTTACCTCGGAACATGGGAGCTGAAATGTGATTACCTTTGACAAGAGCTAAACATTTACCGAAAACTTGGATTGCACTGCCATTAAAACCTTCTTGCATGTCGTAAACAAAACATACCTCTCAGACTAAAATATTTTCACAGCTTGGCTTAACATGAGGCGACGAAAATTATTCCAAAAACTTGTTGTCAACCACTGCAAATAAAAATAGTCTTGAACGGAGTATTCATGACTAAACTAGTTTAACTGAAATGATATTTTCTTAAGTCTTATACAGGGTATGTTCACGGTTGCAGTTAATCTTGTAAACATACTGCAACCGTTGATCTGAGCAGTGAAGATTTACTTAATCTGCATCGATAAATAATCATTAAAGTGAATCGATTTTTTTACTATGGCTTAGCTACTGCAAATGATTACGATTTTACCAATCAAAAACCATTTGCTATTAAAATGGACTATGTAGAATTACAACTTAATCCAAACACACATGGACTTAAGAACTCGTTGAGGACAGTGGTATTTTTTCAAGAAATTTGCAGTATAAACTAATGGCTCTTTACAATGATAGGAAATATCGAGGCAGTATTTGACAGCCCGTGTCTAGGCAAAGGAGTTGACTGTGGGTTAAGTGTATAAATCTGGTGAATACTCAGCTTCCGAAATTTTGGGCAGCATTGACTGATATGCAGATCACGATGCACTTCAGGAAGCTGTCTGGCTGGTGTAGGTAATGCGCGGTGGACGTTGTTGTGACGGCAAATGTTTGGTGGAATCGTTCATCGTTGAGGGGCTTATATGACTGAGTTCTGGGTGTAAACGGTCTTGGCATTGTGGCCTGCTTATTCCGACGAAATTCTGGTTTCCTGTTAGCGATTTTTTGACCTGAAATGAGCACATGCAATTAGATTGATGAGTAGTAAAAAGTATAACACATCTTCGAGACAATAACATGTAACCCTACCTCGTGTCAATATTCTTGAAGTAGAAATTAGGGTAAAATTGTCCACATAAGACATTGTGTCTTTTGTTTGACTACAGCGGTAAACAACCTGTACTTTAAACCAAAAAACGACTTTAGAATTGCCCGGAAAGACAGACTAGGAGATGAAAGGAAAAGTATTTTACCCGCCGGAATTTTCAAAAAGTCTATTGCATTTGACAAATCAACTGAGCTTAAACAAGCCTAGGGTTTAAAAAATGTGAATAGACGAGTGCTTTGTGCTGGCGAAATTCTCATTGACTGTGCAACAAAATACTGTAAGTTACATGTAAAGAGCAGACACGTGTGTAAATTTGCAGAAGAAACTACTACGGAGTCAGGTTGTCTGGATTTGTTTTTTTACAAAATGCAAATTATTGGTTTTAATTTCAAAAACAAGCACTTATTCCTATTTTTCTTGTAAATCTCAAAAAAATATGCATTGAAATCGGAATCTTGACAGCAAATACGAAGGCGTGTGCTTATTAATTTAAAGTTAAAAATAATTAATGATTGGACAAGATTTTCATGCAGATCAAATTTAAAGTATGTGATAAACCAATTAAACATTGTGTAAAAAATGATAGCAAGAAATCGTTAAAGTACTAAACATAACTTGCCCCCTTAGAAACCAATATTTGGTGTTATTTTTGTTTTAAATCGAAGGAAGCATTGTCACCTTGATAAAGTCACAAATCACCAACACTAATCACAAAGCTTACAATCGCTTTAAAATTTGTACGCATAACCTGTCGACCAATTACGGCAAGATCTGGCGCTATTTTAAGGTAAATTTAGACAAAGTCATCTTGGTAACCCGAGAGAACACCTGGAACCAAGTCTAAACGAAGGCTGCTTTAAAATTTGTGTTTGACTACTTCAGATACATCAGTCAAGTACGAATGAATGCTTAATTAGTTTGACTTTAGAAAATCGACTATTTGACCAATCAAATTTAAAAAAAGACGCTGTAAAAACTTGTTGAATGATTTTGTGCGCCATAAATAAAAAACAATAAAAAAAGAAGAAGAAAATTAAACAATGGCTATTTTCTCTTGTAGACGTTTAAATTAGCCACTTGAATTTAAATATGGTAACTTTAACCTAAGCGACTAGGCACAAACTGAAATAAGCTGTCAACTATACATAGACATTGCATGTAATTAATTGCATTTATATAGGTGGGTAATGATTAGTTAGAATCGTTCATAATCCCGAGGTTTTTTTCATTGAATAAAAGCAATTCAAAATTCAAAACGAACATGATTTAAACAAATCCTACCGTCTGTTGATCCACCCGAGTACGCCTCGTCCTTGACGAACCAGTACGATTGGTCGACGGCCAGTTTTTTGTCTGGTTTCTCTAATCAATTATAGGAAACAAACCGCTAACATCAGAGTTCAGGTAGATGGCTAAAATTTACTTCCCTACCCCAAGGTCATTACAATATCAAGCTGGGGTGGATTTATTTGAAAGTTATTAGTCAGACCGAAGTTGAGTAAAAGGGATAGAGTTGTGGGTCAATAATTAAGTTGTGAATGGCTGTTTTACTTTTTTTGAATTCCGCATCCACTGGAGCATCATTTCAATCTAGGCCTATCATTTCCTAATAATTTCCCTGCGATCACTTGAAGTTGCTGGTCAATTGCTGCGAGGTAAAAAACTAACCAATCAGAATGCGTGATTTATTTAGATAATTTCCGGAAATTGAACAGCGATGGAACATTATTGACTAAAACTAGAATGTGCAAACGCTGAATTAGGGCATGGAAAAATATTATTCCCATAAAACAGATGAAACCGAGCAACGCGGAACTCTGATTTTGATTAAACCTGGTTGTCCACCTGGTACACTTCTTTGAAGCACTTTGGTATCATTTGCAAAGCACACAAAATAAGTGTTACATAGAACTGGCTGGTTTGACGAGCTCTGTGTCTAAAGTCGCTAATTTTCTGCATTATTTAACTGATCGGCTCTGGAGAAAAAAAGTACTTCTGTCATCGTGAATATACCTTGATTGCATCAGCTGCAGTCCTTACCCAAAACTTTGAGAAAAAATATTTTTTCCAGGACAACATCGGCGTTTATTTGGCATGAATATCCACCGGCGTCGCTTGGTTGGACATTCTGAATAATCAGGCTCCAATCCTCGTTAAATCGGCGTGGCAGTTGAAATCGTTTGCTTCGCGTGGACAATCCGAGGGATATTTCTTGCAGCTCGCGTTCCTTCCACCATGAAACCTGTGGTTTTTTTTAAAAAAATATATATTTTATAAATGCAAGTCAAAACCAAGGTAAGTGCTTTTTATTACTCTTTTATTCTTAACGTTACATGTTGTTTCATCAGTCATTGTTTGCAATGTCACCTTTTAAATAAATTTTTCACTCTACAAACTTGACCGACATTTTTTTCTTGAAATAGTAGTAAATGAGGACGAGGAAGTACGGTTGGGAATACTTAATAAAGACGATTTCGATGGACATTTGGGGTTGAATTATTAAAGTATTGGTTGAAATTTTTAAATCAACTGCATTTATAACGCCCACAGCTACTAATTTAAACAAGTGTCGTGCGCACAGTGAGAAACATTTCCCCTGGTATAAGTTGTGTGTGACACTTTGAGTGATACAGGAATTTTATGTGAAGCAAATCAACAAAGCGCAAATTCTCCAATCGTCTCTACCACGCAAACTGTTAGCTCAGCAGTTGTTAGTGAATAAATTGCCCGTGAAAGGGTTTTAGATGCCCCGGAAACTGAGGCACTAGAAATTAAACTCACCTCACAACTTTCTATAAAAGATGCAGATATTTTCTCAGTTCTAATAAACAACGATATTGTCAGTTAGCAATAGTGCAGAAATATTTCTAGAACTGTAGACAATGTGGTTTTTAAACACATTTTTAAAATGTGAAATTATTAGACGTATTTTTGAGTGTGTACACTGTACAGTTAATTTTTAAATTTTTATAACATCGTTTTGGCACGTGGGCCTCCTTTCTTAATCCATAATTAAGTGACATAGCATAATTGAAAGCGCAGCAATGGATGTGCGGCATCATCGTTAATTTGTGGATAATTCACAAACGTCATATTTGGCGCCGTAAGCATTTTGTTTAAATAAACTGCGGATTTTTTTAAGCGGAGACAGGATATTTCGTTTATTTTTCAAGCGAAATTTTCCCCAGTTTATGTGAGTAATGTTCAAAACAGGTTAAGTCCGGTACTTTTAATAAATTCGATATATTTTTATAAAATTTAAATAAACACGTTTTTGTGTTCACACACGGGCTTTTGGATAAAATTGTTTTCGTTTGCGACAAGATTGAATAGCAAAACAAATTGTACAAATTACCTACCTTTAATCTCATGAAAGTAAATTTTGTCGTGGGTGTCAAAACCAAAGCAAATTTTAACAGGTTTTGACATCTTAAATGAACAATTTCAAAATTTCTAACAACTATTCAAAAGTGAATTGAAATTCTGTAAACAAATTTAACCAATTGCCATATTGTCATGAGTGATTTTGTGCGTAATTTGACATGCTGTGAGATTTCACAAACCACATTTAAATTTACTGCTTACCCGCGTAACTTAATTGAAAATTTTACACATTGAATAATAAACTTGTGCCAAACTGTATGGAAAAAAATCCGCGTATTTTTTTTAATGAGCCGCCCATTAATGTCAAGACTCAGTGCTCAAACCCTCAAAATCTCCGATTGTCTGGGTTTTGTCGGCTTGACTTTGAACACTGAGTGATTGTCGTTGCCCTTCGCAACAGGAACTGTTGCCCACGGCTACGAGTTTATTGTTAATATTTCGTATTCAACATCCATTAAGGTGTCCGTTTTATTTTTTAAGAATCAACAACTCCCCTGCCAAGTGCCGAACCTACGCAGACATTGTTGTGTCTGGTAAAGTCCGCAACAGACGCTGGATTTTAATTATTCCGACAGGAGTTACTGAACCAATTCAACCGCAACTGGCTCCAGATATCGTTTGGAAAAAGTTCTAATTAAAAAGAAAGCTACACAACCCTGCTGGGATCAGTTTCAAAAGTGGTTTATTTCAAAAACCAGTCTCACTGATCTGATACAAAGCAGTGGACTTTTGACATCATCTGCTTTTGTCACATCGAGAAAAAAGTTGATTTTCTAGCCTGTGTACGGGAAAAATATGACAGTTTACTGAGAAGTTATCTAACGTGTAAGGCTTGTAAGTGGATGCGGCGCTGTTCGTGAGATCCGTTTGATGCATTGTGACTGATGCTATCCTATCAACGGTCGTGATCCAACGACAGTAATTATACTTTTCGATCTTGATGCGGAGAATTTTCTACGGAAAATTTCAAGATTTGGACACTCCAAGCAAACCAAATTGTCTGGTTACCGAGTAATCAGCAAGTGTTTCACTAAGCCTGCGTTAATCGATATCTAATGTGTAGTTACTTGAAAGAATCTTTGCTGTGATGCGCTTCTTATTAGCCGACCAAAACCATTTAAATCCAACAAAGCACTGTTTTTATTGCAGATCAGTTTAAAAAAACGTAGTGCAGGTAACTGTAGCTGTGATTTACGTAATCCGGAGATCATAATAAAAATGATTATTTTATCAGGAAATGCAGCAAAACCAGGTAGCAAAGCACGTTGCGGTTTGAAAAACAGTTGAGAAAATCCATACCATACTCAAAAACGTGGCATTCTATTGTAAATCGACTCTGCAATTGTCGATTATTAAGTCAAGCATCTTTGTAATTTTTCAAGCCTATTTCACGAGTTAGGAAAACTCAAAAAATGGGGACGTACCAGTGTCTTTGAAAAGTCGACATTGTAAATGAGGCACATAATTTCCACGGTGTCGCCCTCCTGCACAACGATGGTCTTTTTGACGTTTCCAGCGAAACACGGCGTTCTTTCGAGCATCAGATGTCCAGCATCGCAGTCGTGCATGCTGGCGTCCGCAAGAGTCGCATTTTTCCCCACGTGGAAGAAGTCGAAGCCGAGGTTTTTGTGGAGGGTGTGGATGAGCATAACGAGGGCGTACAAAAGCACTGACTCCAGCCAATTTCTCATTTCATGTGGCACAGATTCCGCCGTTGTGCTGACTGCAGTCACCCTGCATTGGGCCTCATCACTAGGAGGAGTAACTTGTGTAAAAAAATTGTTGTCGTTCTTTTTACTCCCTACACAAAATTCTTAATTTACTAGGGATCATAGTTGTGAGACGTTTGATTGGCTAACCCAACTGTTGTCTTACGAAGACTATGCATTCAGGTCTTAGCACTTATTGCTGCGTTTTCCGCCAAGATTTCTTCGATGTATATCAAAAGCCTTAAAATAAGAAGCGAAATTTACTGAGTCTCTCAAACTGGATCAACCCTGGAAGTATTTCAGATTATGGGGACTTAAACTGCTAATTGATTTCTGCTTCTTTTCATTGTCAAGTCAACATTGGACTCTTCCTTATTTCAAATTATCGCCAGAAAATTCAGAAATAACAAATGATGATCATTGACGATTTTCACGACCTGCGACAATATGAAAATTTACACAAAAGCGTTGCAGACACTTATTTTGAAAACGTAATTGTTACAGTTGCACAATTTCGTTTCAAGGGTGTGGCAGAAGGTGATTATGCAAGGAAGATAGTCATTTTAATTATCCTCTCAATGCAGAAATTGAAATGCGGAACGGTTTTTCATTGATCTAGAGACGCGTTGTGAAGCGTTTAAACACATGCTTAGCCTTACCCTTTGATGTCAACTGCTTTGTCTAGGGTGTGAACAACATTTGTCCTCAAAATGTCCAAAATTCAATTAAAATTGCATTTTTTAAAGTAATTTTCAAACCTCTATAATCCCTGTCACCAAGAAGTCAATCACTAAGCCCAAATTTGAAATAAACTAATGTTTGAAATTTCAACTTTAGATTCAAATAGGTCCTAAGAATATTTTACATAGGGACAAAATTATCTGTTATTTAAATGCATGTTTTAGTGCACCCAGTTACCACTTTAAAATTCTTTTGATTTAAATTGCGTTTCTGCGTTTCTGCATTCCGTATCATTTTAAACAACACATTTTTGCTATTTTCCTACAGCAAGTTGATAGAGAGAGAGTAAATATATCTGCAAACACCTATTTAATAAGGTAAAGTTAACGATTTAATGCAAAATATTATTATCATTATGACGCAAGTAACTGTGAATTAAATTTCAGCAAATCATTTGTAATACTTACTGCCAGATAAGGTTTTTAAGTAGTAGTATAACTGCCAATGTAGTCTACAAATATTTAAGTCTTATAACAAGGCATGCAGTTCTTACGGGATAGCTTTGCGTTGCTCAAACTGTAACGAATTCACTTTAGTGATGGTTGTGGCAAAATTCAGATATCATACGCGAAGCCCATTGGCTGCAATTTACTGCTTGACCCACCAAATGCCTCGACCAATAGGAAATACCTGTGCATGTCCCCGGTGTCATCAGCTACTGGTTTCGCATATCTTTTGTTCATTTCATTTTAATTTAGTTTTATTTTTAAAAAGAACTTAAATTAGCTATTATAAGACCAGTTTTTACATGCTGAACAAGCACACCTAGCTGGGACGCCAGCAGTTCACTTTTTGACAGTTAAAACACTACAGCAGCGGCCGTCTGCAAGCAACTTGATAAAGACCTAGAAGGTAAACATTAGATGCAGATATACACTTATGTTCTGCAAACATTCCACCGACGGATTGCAAAAAAATGCTTGTCTTTGAGGGTTTGTTCTAAAATGAATTGTCATTGCCTTAAGCAAAATCTACCTCAAAAAATCTAGATTGAGGCTAATTTCTGTGTGTTTTAATCATGTGACAAATTTGTGGGAACGTTTAATTTCGTGTGTAAATATCACGTTCCAGCTAAGATGTGATGCATTGGTAAACGAACCGTAATATTTGAAGCGCTGTATATGTGAGGCACCACAGAGGACTAGATTGTTGATATTCTAAATTCACTTGACAAAGGGTCGAGGTAATATTGATGGAGACTTTCTTTACAAATTACTGGGATGGTGGCTAGAACCTTCTGAAAATTTTATTAACCTACAAGAAATCCTAATGAATTCTCTTCGATGCCTTGATTCTAATATTTTACATATGATGATTGAACTTTTGTCAGATTAATTTAATTTTGGTTAAATCGGAATAAAAAGAATCATTAATGATTTTCACAATAGTGAGCATTTACGATTAGGTTTTTTTTTAAATTAGTTCTAACTGAAATTTAGAACTCGAGTTTTGAACTGAGTTCAATCCACAAGATTCTTGCTGAAAAACAAGAAAATGCCACTTACAAACACAAAACGTTTCAACATCTGCTAAAATTATCAAGTCAAACTTTACGGTATCACAAACTCGGCCTTAGTCTACTAGTCAAGACTCTATATATTTTTGGGTAGAGCGCAAATCAGTCATGGTTACCTTTTGCAATGAAATCCACATTGAAAGCAACTATTTTCATCATACACAGACATTCACGGAACGTGGCAATTTTTAGTCCCACTAACATCATTCAAGCGCAAAATGGTTTCTCATGGCCACCACTACGCTT